ATCCCCCCGGGGGGTGATTTCCTGCTTTCTGTCTCTCTGTCTCTCTCTGTCTGTCTGGCGAGCGCACACGCCCTATAGCAAAAACCTCTCAAAAAAAAAAAAAAAGAAGTCCTTCACCAGATGTGACCCATAGGCCTTGAAGAATCTTCACAACCATGAGCTGAGTAAAGCTTTATCCTTTATAAATGATTAGTCTGAGGTATTCAGTTATTGCAACAGAAAGATGAACTCAAATAGGAGGTAGGAATAAGGGTTAGGAAGCGTGGGGTCTAGCACACTTGGGCCTCCGTTGCCTCACTTATAACATAGAAAGAAATGATCAGATAAACTCCAAAGGCTTTTCCGACTTTAAGCTTTGCAGGATGTGAGAAAATATTTAAGACAGCCTTTAAGATAACTTTTTTTTTTGAAATGCATTCCTTCTGCTCATCATTTACAAGCGAAATCCTTCAGGATTTCACAGTACTAAGCTGGGAGCACCCCAGGACACTGGCAGAGGCAAGCACAAATCCTTGTTAGGAAAAACACAAGTTCGCTTCTTGCAATGGTGATCATAAAAACCCACCGTATTCATCCATTATTGAAAAAGTACCGGAGACTGGGTCATTTATAAAGCATAGAGGTATATTTGGATCACCATTCTGGAGGCTGAAAAGTCCAGGAGCATGAGGCCAGTCAGGCACTGTGGAGTCTGACTCAGACACCACATGGCCAAGAGAAACAGGAAGGAAAGCAGGCACATAGAGAAAGAGAACTAGGGGCAGCCATCTTACTTTTATAAAAACCCAGTCTTGCAAGAACTAATCCATTCATGAGTATGGTACTCCCATGATTCAAAACTACTCTAGGCCCCACCTCTTAAAGGTTCCACCACCTCTCTCTCTCTCTCGCTAGATCTTTGCTATAGGGTGTACTTGCTAGAGAGACAGAAAATGAAAATTCAACCCCGCCCCCCCGGGGATATGGCCACACCGTAATCCTCCCTCCTCCACTCTCCCCTCAGGATCCTGGGCATGCACACACACATTTCTGGCATGTTTCAAGTCACCAGGTCTGGGATTCGAACTATGGTCAGCCATATGGGAGTCCAGTGACATAACCACTACGCCATCTGCTGGTCCCAAGGTCTCACCATCTCTAAATATCATTACTCTGAGACCAAGCTTCCAGCACACGAACCTTTGGGAGACACATCATATGCAAACCTTAACACTCACCCAGATTTCAGAGATGTTAAAATGAGAAAGGTATGCAAACTCTACCAGTAATTAAGAACATTATTCTGTTCAGCACAGACAGGAGCACACTCAGCTGTCACTCCACAATGGCAGTAACTCCAGTCATCCCCCGTGAACTCTGAAACCCAGAGTTCCAAAGTACTGGGTCGTCGAGAGAAAGTCCTGACATATTTGTCTATGCAAAAATCCATCATCACTTTTCAAACAACCTAAGATAAATCACTGAAATAAAAGTGTGTCAACCTGAAAAAGAGCAGAGCAAATAAAGCAAAGACTTTATCTGGGCCAGGATCAGTACCATCACTGGACCCCACAAAGTCCAAGCTGCCCCAGATAATACGTACCATGGTGTTACAGATTTCAAGTTGATTTTAAAGGCAAATGACATGAACGGAAGGGGAATAGCAAGTAGTCTTGTATAGCAGTGATTGGCTAGTTCTATGATAAGAAGAGCAAGATGTCTTCACCTGGAGTCACTTTGCTTAATCTTATTAAGTTTACTTATTTTATTCATGACAGCACATGCATATAAAAGGGGTGAAAAAAAAAAGAGAGGCACCTTTGACAGGATCATGCCATGCTACGATCCCCTTTCCCTAGCCTTCCAGATCCTCAGAATCTCAGGCATGCACACACATACCTGGTGTCTTTTCAAGCTGACCCAAGAACCCAAACCCGCAGCTGGCCATGTGGCTTCCAGCACTGCAGTTCAGTTTACTAACTGTGCCACCAGTCTAAGCCACTTTGGAAGAGGGTGAGTCTAGACAGTAAAGAGAGAATATATTTGGGCAATAAGAATATTCATAAAACAAAACATCTAGGTATTGTCTTAAGCTATTTCAGGTGCACATTCCTAAGAAAGCCACATAATGTGCGTAAGTTTTATTTCCCTATAGCACTGACTTAGGTAGCCTGAAATTCCATGCTTTCAGGAAAAACCAGTCTCTTCGGGGGAATTTATCTGCTTCCTTAAAGTTTCAATGTGATGATGTAACTTTTTAACATGAGTGACTCCATTTTAATCCGGTCTGTTGGGGTCTACAGCTGGAGCTGACTGCAAAATATGCTCTCCTACAATTTTTATTTATTTATTTGTAAATAATTTACTTATTTCATTTTATTTATTATTTTCAAACTTTTTTTAATTTGACTAGAGAGAGGGAGGGAGAGTGAGAAAGCAAGCCACTAGGTCCAGGACTTAAACCGTGGTCAGCCATGTGGGAGTCTAGTACCTTAGCCACCATGCCACCTGCCAGTCCCTAATTTTCATTTTAAAAGTATAATCTACTGCGGTTAGAATAACACATCCCGAGTTCCAAGATGGCAACCACCATAAAGAAAGCAGCTACAGAAGATGTCAACGTCACTTTCAAAGACCAACAAAAGATAAACAAATTTCCACCGAATATGAGTAGAATCACAGAGCTAAAAGAATAGAATTAAAAAAGAAACGACTCCAAAATTTAGAAGATGATTGTGATGACATCATGCTTGCAGATGACAACTGCGTAAGGATACCTTATCAGATCAGCTCTCCAAGAAGTTCTGAAGGGAGTGCTATACCAGGAAAGCACACAGACACACAGAAATAAGAGTACAAAAACCAACCAAGAGAATGGTCAACTTAATGGTAGGGACAAGTCCAGAGAAATCAATAATAACATTGAATGTTAACTTCCAGAACTTACATGGAAAGATTGAACCACGGCAACACTGCAGATTCAACAGAAGAGAGAATAATTACATGAGACTGAACTGGTGAAATAGAATTTTATGACTTTTGATTAAAACACTACTGATTTTCTTCTATGTTTTGTTTTCCAGATTTAAGGATTTTTGTCTTCTCCTTGAGCTGTTGATAGGTACATCTACCTACTGTTTGAACTGAATCCTAACCTTTTCACTGGCTTTAAATTTTTAAGTCTTTTCTTAACATTTTTTTTTTTTGGTCTATTAAAATGGAAACTGTTTTTCTCTTTCTTTTCTTTTCTTTTCTTTTTTTTTGAGAGGTTTTTGCTATAGGGCGTGTGCAATCGCCGAAAAGACAGAGAGAGACAGAGAGACAGAAAGCGAGAAATCACCCCCCCCCAGGAGGTGATTGAGAAACATGCCAGGTACATGTGTGTGCCCCATATCCTGACAGGGAAATGGAGGAGAAGGGATTGTGATGTGACCACACCCCACTGGAGGGATGCTTTCTCCCTCTCCTCTGTCTGGTAAGTGCATGAACCCTCTACCAGGATAAAAATAAGAAATGCTGCAGTGAACATGATATAGAAATATCTCTACAAGTCCTTCTTGTCAATTCTTTTGGATATATAGCCAGAAACAAAGTTGTGGATGATATGACGTTCTACTTTAATTTTTTGAGGAACCACTATTGCAACAGGGTTACCAATCAAAATTAGTTTTAGGTAGCAAGGGTTTGAAAACGCTTCTGCCACAACTTACAATAAATGAACAATTATTATGTGTCCACCATGGAGTTACACTGAAGATATAAACCCTGCTCTCTGCCCCACTCATTTCTACTTCTCTATTCCATGAAAATCTAAACATGCTATTCAATGTTATTCCTCAGTTTTCTCCAGTTGATGAAATCCTAACTACGAACTAAGCCCTATGATATGAAACTTAATAACTAAAGCAGTTTTGATCCACAGAAGCAGCCATTTTCATATGGTTCAACATTATAGAAACTCCTGAGTCCCTGCTTTTAAGATTCTTAGGTCTGATTTTTAAATATTTAGGAATTAAGTAATTAAAGGGAGGAATAGGACCACATACTTGGACGTGACCTGTTGATTTCCAACTTAAAAATCTTGGAGCTCTTTTCTGTACCTGAACTCTAACAGTTAATCTTACCTGAAAAAAATTAATATATTATGGATAAAGATAAAATTTCCTTTGACCACCTCCCTGGTTTGCCTCCCAAATCTCACCTATCTATACCTTCTTCCAAACAATCACTGTTAGGAGTGTGGGTGTGGCTCTTTCTGAACACTTAAAAATATATGAATATATACATACAGCCTAAGGGAATGTATAGTATCGCTCTGTACATATATATAAACCTGTGTCTATCTTTCTACAACTTGCTATTTTCATTTAACATTACATTTCTGAGATCTATCCATGTTAACCCAGACCTATTATTTTTTTTAACTCTAGTAAGAGTAATCTATCCTAGACTATACCGCATTTTATTTAACCATGCCGCTCCCCATCAGAAAAAGCATTAGACTGTTCTTCCTCATTGTAACTCACCGGTGTAATGGCAGAGTAGTTCCTACTGGGGCATAAGGACTGCAGATGATGTTCAAAGGGGGTTTAAGCATCACCTTGTAAGATCAAATGTATACAATGAGAATGTATTTGTGTATAATCTACAGGCTTTAATTATCAACTTTTTTTAAGTAAAGAATTTTATGACACATAAATGACCAGGGACAAAATCAACGAGAGAAAGTAAATCATCTGACAAAATACAGGAAAAACAAAGCCAGCCTCATAACGCTATGGCTAAGCACCACACATGCGGAGCCAGATCCCATGGCCAACCGCAGTTCAAGACCCAGTCTCAAAGGCTTGAAAAGTACACCAGGTACGTGAGTGCACAGTCAAAATCCTGATGGGCTGCAGAAATGGAGAAAGGGAGACTGCGGCACGACCACACCCCATGGTAGGAATACTTTGTCTTCCTCTCTCTCTCTCTGGCGAGCACACACGCCCTCTGGCAACAGAAAACAGAAACAGGCAAAATAAAGTTGTACACCTTAATAGTGTACTCGTGGTTTGAAGCATAAGCATTTATTGAAAATAATGAGCAGTAAACAGATCATATATATCTATTCCACTATGGAAAGCAATTACAATGAAAAATCACATATTGGTTATCATAACAAAGCATAATTAATACAGGCGCACATACTTCATTTACATCTTTTGCTTTCTTCTTTTATGACTATGATGTCTCTCCCCATCCCTGAAATGAAAAGGGTATAAAAAAAAATTACTACAAATGATGGGCAATTTAATATCAGAGCTGTAGAGTAATAATTCAACAATAATATGCTATCTCATCAGACATAAGCCAGAACAAGATAAAGCGTTTATTTAGAACTGAACAGTGATTTCTTTTAAAGAGTAATATAGAAAATGAATGATAAAAACTAAAGGACAGAATTAGAATAAAGATAAGCAAAATGGAGATTTAAAAATTATGCTTTGAAGCTCTGCTTTCAAATGAGCACTGAATATATATACATGATAAATGAACAGAGAACTCATTTTAAATAGAATATTAAAGTCAGAAAGAATTCAGAAACTGTGATTCCCTTATCCTGTTCCCATCTCAAGTCATTCTAGCTTGGGGGTAGAGAGCAAATAATAGCTTTGTCTTCCTGAGAAGTGTTTCTTGCTACCACTCAGTTTATCCTCTTTAAAGGAAAATTATCTTACGTTTAGATGTTGGGTACTCTTTATTTCAATCAATAGCGATTAATTAGAGATGCTAAAAACTACTGAAGTGGAAAGAGCACTAATGAACATGAAAAAGAGGAGGGGCACACTTTGTGACAATCAAGAGTTAATGTGTGAATGTACAGTTATATCACGTGAATGAAGAGATGACTTAGCATGTACTTCACTTCTGCAAGACAAGGACTTAGTCACAGCTAGCTGTAAGCCTGTGAGTGAGTGGTAGTAGGATGAGCAAAGCTACCCAATCAATACAATAAGCTTCGCTGATTCCTGATTCCCAGTGGTGAGGCAGCCCAGGTATCATTTCTGAGCTTGCTAGTTATTGGACAGCGCTGTGCATGTGACTCCTCACTATCTTGTTTCCTCAGTGTGGTCTGTAACAGGAGGGTCTGTTCTGCTGTCCGAAAGTAAACGGTGTGATGCTGAATGATGCAGAGCAGGACTCACCTCTCTTTCCTTCTTCTCGACTCACAGCTTTTATCCTTATCTTTATTTCTTTTTCGTTTATGGGGGCTCCTGCTCCGATCCCTTCTGTGTCGTGAATACTCGGCATCCAAATAGCTTCCACCGGACTGCCGCGAATCTACTGAGACGGATCGCCTTTCCTCGTCCCTGACACAGAAAGGCTTGTTGGTAAGTGTGTTTGTTTTCAAGAATTATTTATTAAATTTTACTTGTTATTATTATCTTTTTTTAATCTGACCAACAAGAGAAAGAGACACACAAAGTAAGAAAGCAAAGCTACCACATCCGGGACTCAAACCAAGGTTGACCAAGTACAAGTCCAGCATCTTAATCACCACACCACCTGCTGGCCCTTAGTAAGTTTGTTTTACCATTGGTATCCTCTACACACCCAGACATGCCAGCCTCAAGTGCAATATTCTCATAATAATGGCAGACAGAGTCTAAGTAAATGTGCTTAATTCTACATTCTGTATAAGAGGGCAAGAAAAAAAAAAAACAACCTCTTGTGTTTTACTGTTAACTGTTTCACTAATACGTCTGTCCCCCCAAAACAGAAATGTCAAATGGCAACGTCATACAACTCTAATACAGTAATCCCTGAGTACTGAAAATAATAAATAAGCATTCTGATACAGTATAGTATGCTACCGATGGTCTTAAAAATACTGCTGACCAATTAGAGGTAACAGATTTTAAAAAGTACTTTAGCCACTAGAGATGACGACATACTTTGCGGCATCCTCTGCTTTCTCCTGCTCTTCCTGCCAGTGATTACTGAGCTCCTCCATGTGCACGCTGATCACATCCCGAATCACCTTGGGAGGTAACCACATGTCAGTTAAGAAAACTTCTAAAAAATGAACACTATAAAGCTAGGAAAAAAACCACGGCCAACAACCCATCAAATATTTACTAGGAACTAAAATATCCCAGGCTGTGTGGGACGTGTGCAGTTTAGAGAACACCAAGAAATGCGGCAGTCAAACTGGAACTTGAAGAGTAGGTGAAAGCGTAACAATGTTAAATTGGAAGCTGGTAATTGTACCATGATTACGCAAGGAAATATCTTAGGAAATAAACACTAAGCATTTAGGGATAGAGGGTCATGATGCATTGACACATAACTTACCCTTAAATAGTTCCCAGGAAATAATCAAGTCCTGGCAGAGAAAGACAATGTACACGACAAACACGCAGGGCCAGACGCTGACAGCTGGTCAGCGGGATAAAGGGCACACAAGGCTCTGGCACTGTGAGCTTTGCAACTGACGAGACTACTCGCAATTAAAAAAACAAAACCCGATAATTAAGACGACAGACAGAATATGAGCCAAGGTAGTCATGGCATAGCTCCGTTCTCAGTAAGACTATTACCCCCTCACCTGTAAGAACCCTTGGATGGGTTTTTCCTTTCCTATTTGCCCACACCATCAAGCCCAAATAGATAGTAGAGCACATAAAACCACACTGAAATATGAAAAAAAAAAAAAAAACCACCTGATATTTATTGAGAAATGCCTGTGCTTACATGCATTTTCTCAGTTCTTGTAACAATCCTTCAAAGTTCCAATTATGGGAACCAGCAGTTAGCGTAATGGCTATGTCGCTGGACTCCCACGTAGTCGACCGCGGTTTGAATCCCGGAACCGGTGGCTTAAAACTCACGCAGGGCGCGTGTGTGTGCGTGCCCAAGATCCCGAGAGGAGAATGGAGAAGGGATTGCGGCGTGACCATCCCCCCTAGGGGGTGATTTCTCGCTTTCTGTCTCTATGTCTCTGTCTGTCTGGTGAGCGCATGCGCCCTATAGCGAAAGTCTCTCCAAAAAAAAAAAAAAGTTTCAATTATTATTATTATAAAATGAAGAAAATGCTATCTAAAAAGCTCAAATAGCTTACCCAAGTCAAACAAGAAATGACACACAGCAGAATCAAAACTCAAGTCAGTATGTCTAAAGCCAAAACTCAGTCTTACCCTGATGCCATACCACTTCCTCAAAGGGAGCAATGCCTTAAGATGGTATAACCTTTTTATACAAGGCTTTTATACTATGACAGCCTTTCTCTGGGTCTGAAGCAAGGAAGCAAATACAAACCAGGTATAACTACCCTGAAGGCGTCTGCTTTCAAAAAAGCTTCAAGATTGATTGAGCCAATATACAGTGTATTCTGGATGGGAAATCTCATTCTGTTTGCTGTGATGATGTATAGTGAATGAATGTAAATAAATAAATTTAAAGGAAAAAAAAAAAAAAAGCTTCAAGAAATGGTGGCAATCCACAGAACAAATGTGTAAACTAGAACAGGGAGGTATTCGTCCTCAGCGAAGCTCCAGAGGACGACATGAACGTACCTCGGTATATGACTTCTTGGTGATGTGAACATTCTTGGCTCTGTAGGACTGGCGTCGTCTCTTGTAATCTCTCACTTCTGCCAAGATCTCAAGGTAAGATTTCGGACTTTTTCGACTATTATCTAATAAAAGAATAAGGATTGTGAGGAGTTCTGAATGCTTACAAATCAGCAGGTAAGCACGCTTCTGTTACCCTGGATGTCAAGTTTCAATGGAGCACACAAAAGTAACCTGGGAAGTGTGCATCGCAGTCACAAGGTGACTATGCATCTATGGTCATTGATAGACCTCTTTACAATCGATCTTCCATCTACAAGATTACAAAGAGCTGAAAGAGCCCTACCGCCCAGTGCCGTCAAAGTCACCGGAACACTGCAGCACACTGCATACCCGCATGCAGCGTAAAGACCGACGCTGCTGCAGTCTTGTGAAAGTACAGCACATGCAATTATGTACGGTATATAACACTGGTAATAGGCCACCATGCTACTGGTTTGTGTGTTCAGTATACCAAACTTCTATTTCTATTTAGAATGTACTTATTAGAAGTGTACTGGGGGGCCGGCAGGTGGTGTGGTGCTAAGGGTGCTGGACTCCCACGTCTGGACCTCGTGGCTTGTGTGCACTTTCTCTCTTTCTCTCCCCCCCGTCTGGTGAAATAAAATAAATAAATAAATAAGTAAATAAATAGACAGATAGATAGGTAAAATAAATAAAGTTCAATAAAATAATTCTTAAAAGAAAAAAAAAAAAAGAAAAGAAAGAAATACGTGTATTGGGCCGGCAGCATACCTAGTGCTTAAGGGAGCCAGATTCCACATGACTGATCGCAGTTTGAATCTCAGCCCTGGCAGTTTGAAAACCGCTCCAGGCACATGTGGGTGCATGCCCAAGATCCCAAGAGGAAGGGAAAATGTTGGAGAAGGGACTGAAGTATAACTGAGCCCCCAGTGGGGGTGTTCTGTCCTCCTCTCTCTGTACATCTCTGGCCAGTGCACATGCTCTGTCAATTTCAAAAGAAAAAGAGCTTACAGTCAGACAGTACGCTGTGTTACCCAGGCAACGGATATATACGTCTCCTGCCTATCACAGCTCCTGACTGTGTCATTTCCCCGTGTGCTCGATCTTGTGTTGTTTTGTTCCGCGTGGCCCTTCTAGTAGGACAAGATGTGAAGGTAGACGTCAATGGTATTGATGATCCTGACCCCACGCAGCTTAGCTAAAGTGTGTGTTTATGTCTTAGTTTTAAATAAAAACTTGAAGAAGTTAAAAAAAAAAAAAGTTAAGAGAAAAAAGCTTAGATTAAGAATATTTAAAAATATTTTTGTACAATTGGACAATATATTTGTATTTTAAGCCAACTGCTAGTACAAAGGAGTCAGTTTAAAGAAACAAGGTTTATAAAGTTATAGTAAGTTAATCCATTAGTGAAGAAAGAAAAATCTGTTACAAATCCACGGTGGCCTAGGTGTTTCCTGCTCCTAAGTCTTCAGTAGTGTACGACAATGTTGTAGGCCGTCGCATTCACGCGCCACTGACTCACCCAGAGCAACCACCAGTTCTACAAGCACATTCCCGGTAAATGCTCACATAGGTATACCGTTTTCTCTTTTACACTGTATTTTTGCTGTACCCCTTCAATGTTTAGATACATAAATACGTATCATTGTACTATAAGTGCCTACAGCATTCAGTACGATAATGTAAGCCCAGAAATAATATAGGTCATACCATACAGTCTAGGTATGCATACGCTCAGTAATGTCTGCATAACAGATACTGCCTTATTTCTCAGAATATACTATGTCTGACTATATCCGTGTCGCTAAATGACAAGACTGTATGTATATAAGTATGTATGTCCGTGTGTGTGTATATACAAATATGGGAGATACATGGATACATACATATATATACGTGCTAAGTTTTGAATCATTCCTTTCCTCCACTCATTAGTTGAACTTAAAGAGTGTTAAGGTACATAAATTAAAAATAACAGCACAGTTACAATAACAGCACCGTTGTAAGTAACATTCTTACAGAAGGAAAGTATGCTTGACACAAACCTCATCGGGTGACACAGAATGCCTACTACAACTCACAGTAGCCTGACAATTAAATCACTGCACTAGCCATGGGCTGGAATGACAATTAAGAAATGTAAAACTGTGATATTCATCTCAAACCTTGATTGACTTTGGCAGCCAGGTCTACAAAGAGGTCACTGTCATTTTCGATGATTTGGGAACTAGAGCGCTTTTTCTTTGTCTCTTCAACTACAAAGTCATAGAGGGCAAGACGGTCGGCTTGGGTGAGATCACAAACATACCGTTTGTGATTCAGAGGAACTTCCACAGGCAGTGAAGAGTGAATCCCTAAAGTAAAAACAAAATCACAAGAATAAACAATACATGAAGCATTGTGGACTTAAAATTACTACTTATCTTCAAACATGTGCTGTGATAATACAATATTCATTGAAACTATTTTTTCATAGTAATCCCTAAATATACAAAATATGTATTAATAAACAGGAAACAATGACACTATCCTGATGACTATATCCACAGAATGAATGTATTACAGGTATTCACTGTTCTCCCCGAAAACGTTAAGATAGATCCCATGAAGGCAGGCAGTAACAGACAGTTTGCTCACAAAATAATGTTTTAGGTAACGATGTAAAAAGACTACCCATTTTACAAAAGTACGTATCTTTCTGTTTATATTATATGCTGGTCCCATAAAAGCTAAGAACAAAAAGAAAAGCTTTAATAGGTAACACAGAGCCCCTTTGAAAATAAATTATGAAAATCCAAGTAAGATGTAGAAAAATGTATTTAAAAAATGTCTTTATAAGACACCAGGTTAGATGATCAGTATCCAAAATACATCCTGCTTAAGATCTAGAGGCTGGAACCAATGAATTAAATAGCAAAACCTGGGGCCAGCAAGTGGTATGATTGTTAAGGCACCGGTTCGAGGCCCAGACCTGACAGCTTACTTTTTCGCACTTTCCCTTTCTCGCTCTCTGGTCAAGTTTTAAAAATAAATAACAACAAACAGAATTAAATAATTACAATAAATAAATACGTAATAGCAAAACCTCCAAGTTTCCTCAGACCAGAGAAAGATTAAATTGAAACTATACTCATTTTCATTTCCTGAGGAGGAAACATATTTGGCTTAACCAAAAAAGGGCCAGCCTCCAGCCCAGTAATTAAGGGAGCCAGATCTCACATGGCCAATCATAGTTCAAATCTTGCCCCAGGGGCTTGAAAAACATGCCAGGCATATGTGTTCATGTGCCCAAAGTCCTGACATAATGGTGAAAGGGAGAAGAGATTATGACATGACCACACCCCACCGGGAGGCGATTTCTCGCTCGCCCTCTCTTTATGTCTCTTTCTGGTAAGCATAAGTGCCCCTGGCAACAAAAAGAAAAAAAAGTAAACAGCAGTGTCCCCACCCCCAATAGTTACAGAACTTTCCAAAATCTGCTCATTAATGAAAAAAAATAAATACAATACCTTGATGTGATGTGTTAAACACTGAAGAAAATATTTGTTTTGAGATTCAAATTTTCTCAAAGAAATAAAAAATTATCGTAACTGTAAATAAAGCAATGTAAAGCAATTCCTTCTAGACTTCATTATCCACTAATGCAAACAAAGAACACAAGCTACAAAAGGAATCCTTCAATTGTTTAGATGATCCTAAATAACTGGTTCACAGAACAATGTAAAATCAGTTGCTCTCCCAAGATACTTGTATTTGCTAAAATACGACGTAATTAACTTGTTAGGTAAAGAGGCGAAAGGACCATTTAAACAAGAGTATACTATGCACTAAGAATTATAACGAAATAAAAACAGACGGTACCTTTGCTTACGAATTAAGAGAGAGCTGCGCTGAGTCTGAGGCCATGGCGTTATGAGGCCACGGTTTAACACTACGGTTAACAGCACATGGCCAGCTTTACTACGCCAAGGTATGTGTAGGCAGGAAAAAGGCTCCTTTTCAGATCAGTCAATTTTACTCTAATTCTAAACGGCACTAGGAAAACTAGAAAAAGCCCTTTTTTGTAGGGAGGGATTGAAACACTTAATCTCATGATATAAAATTATAAAGAGCTAATGTTGACAAGCCTAATTCCTTTGAATGTAGGCTAGAAAAATCGGGAGAAAAATACAAAGAGTAGAAAATAATGGTGTATGACAAACTTCACAGAAACCTCTGCCTAGTGTTTTTAAATGAAGAAATAGATTTTCCTCATTCAAATATTTTGGCTTTTTCTTTTGACTTATTCATCTTAAATTTATGGTGAAGGTCATGATAATAAATTCCTTGAAACTCAACCAAAATTCCAAATCAAGACTATAATACGGTGACAGCTAAGAAGATGAAAGCTTAGAAATCTGAGTGATACTTTTAAAAGGATATCATTTGCAAAAAGGATACTGCATATCGTTAAATAAGGAGTACATTCAGGTTCCTAATTCCTCCTTATACTCACCCCAAATACTGAAAAAGAAAAAGTACAAGAAAAGTTATGCAACAAACTGCATTCAAATCATACAGAACACAGATATTTCTGAACAACAACAAAAAAAAAAAACGGATAAACACACACAAGCTTGCTTACATTGACATAAAATGGAGATTTTCACAATGCAAGATGCTTTATGACTTAGAGGTACATCTGAATGTGCCATAATCGAAATAATTCTGTGATCCTGTCTGCTCATTTTTGCAACTGCTTTTTTTAAATTGTGGTAAAATACACATAAAATTTACCATTTTAACCCTTTCTTAGTATACAGCTTAGTGGCATTAAGAATACTCACAATGTCGTACAACCATCACCTCTATGCCTCTCCAAAACTTACTCAGCACCAGCACTGCAAATCGAAGCTCTAAACTACTTTTATTTATTTATTTATTTAAGAGAGAGATTTTTGCCATAAGGCATGTGCACTAGACAGAGAGACAGAAAGTGAGAAATCATCCCCTATGGCTATGACCATGCAGCAATCTCTTCTCCTCTAGTCTCTTCTCAGGACTTGGGCATACACACATGTGCGCCTGGCTGGGTCTGGGACTCGAACAGCAGCTGACTACATGGGAGTCCAGCTATGTTATCTTATGCCATCTCCTGCTCCCATAATCTACTTTTTAAATAACTAATTCTCTTTCTTTCTTGTGAGTCACTTCTGCCATCACAGGGCATCTTAAACATATGTCATAGAATTGTAAATACTAAAGATATTGTCTCTAAGATATGTATTCAGAGTTCATATTGAATTCTACATAAATCCCCACATATAGGGAGAATTCACCGAGTCAATTTCCTAACAGAAATTAAAAAAAAAAAAAAAAAAATTAAGTCCCATAGAAGTAAAATGGTATGCCCAAGATCTCACAAGTAGCAGGAACAAATCATGTCTAAAACCATTCTATCCGGTTTTTGTAAGATTCTTTTACGGTTTTTTCAAAACACAACCATGACTCAAATACACTTTATGAAGTATAGCCACTTGAATGTTTAGTACTGAAAGAAAAAGAAACCACTAGATTTAAAAAAAAAATGTTTATAACTGAAGTTAATATGCTGGTTAAAACTAGCTGAAGGGGGGGAAAAAAACTAACTGAAGGAACTTTATCTGAAAGTACAGAGATATAATGGTTGTTCAAGCTTTTGCAAAGGTCAACAGACTGAGAATTCTGTACACCGCGTTTAGACCAGACATGACTGATAAAATGAAAACATACGTGCGACCTTATCAAAAAATTTGAATTTTGGTGCAAAACAAAACGTTAGTTAGATATTTTTCTTGTAACATTTTTCTTGTTAACCATTCTTCCTTCAAAGCAGATACATCATTCTTGTCCTGGGGTAAAAAGTTAAAAAATGTCTAAGACATGAGTGGGCCACGAAAGTAATCTCTGTTGAAAAATTACAAAACACTATACAGTATAAAAAGAAAATTTCTTAAAAGAAGGTTACAGACATATAAAAATAGTTATTTGGGTGGGCTCCATGGCCTAGAAGTTAAGAGGGCCAGGTTCCACAAGGCCAGCCAACCTATTCCGGATGCAGCCCTGCAACTTGCAAAACAAGCCTGGGATATATGCATGCATGCCTAAAATTTCAAAAAGGAGGAGAAAGGATTATACCACGATCATATTCAGTGAAGGACTGTTTTTTCCTTTTCTCTGTCAAGTGCATATGCCCTCTGGCAAAAAAAAAAAAATTTTAAAGAAAGTATTCTTACCAATCAAATCTTAAAGACAGTGCTAGAATTCAAAATCAAAATTCCTCTTATTTACTGAAAGAACTAGTCAAAATTATTCCCTGCTTTTTTTATTCATTCATTCATTTTTTCCCACATTTTATTCCTTACTTTTGTAAAGAACTCAACACCCAAATCTGTCTTATTATCCAGTTATATGAAAAAAAAAAAAACATTTAAGATTATTTTCCAAACTATTCCCATATATAAAACACTCACCTATTTAATTATCTTAACATTGCTTCCTGTACATTAATTTTCACTAAGACAATAGTAACTACCAATTACTGGACCTAAGGCTAGTTTAGCATTCCTTATCTTTGTTCCTCTACTCAACCCTACAATAGACTATTATATATTGCAGAGAAGGAAACAAAAACTCAGAAGTTGTCATTTATGCAAGGCCAAGCAGCTAGTTTATTTGTTTAAAATAGGCTTACACAGGCAACAATGAACAGAACTGACAACAGTAGTTGAGTATGTACAGGTTTGATGTTTGTGATATTTTTCCACTCAGTAATGGACATAATAAGAAATACATCTAGAATCTAGAATCCTATTCCATAAATCTCACTCACTGTAGAGAATTTCTAACAGAAATCAGGGATTTCAACTAGTTCACAGAAAAATGGAATTAAAGTGAGTTTATTTTGGGTGGTGCAAAACAAAAGAAACTCATGCAGTTTTCCATAATGCACACGTCCCACGAACTTTCTAAAGATCCCTTGTTCTTGTTCAACTCATTCTAAGTTCGTTGAGAAAGCGAAATGAAATACATAAATAAGCTCTGAAAAAAGAACTTTTTTAAAAAATAAAGATGTTGAAGAACTTTAGAAGAAACACACCAGAATTTCATTACATCTCCATTAGACAGGGTTTGCTTCCTTTCCATAAAATGCAAACACTGGACAATCTGATCTTCAAGCTCTCTTTCAACTCTACAATAAATTCAGTAAATCTATCTAACCGTCCAAGAGTCAGAGGCCTTTTAGTATTAACCTCTCCAGAACACAAAGACTTCTACTTCTTCATTATTCCACTAACTGAACAGGGGCAACGGACAGAAACAATAACAGGTCATAAAGGCTTGAGTATGGGCCAGCAAGCGGCACGGTGGGTTAGGCGCCAGATCCTACATGGCCAACTCTGCGGTTTCTCCCAAGAGGAGAATGAAAGAGAAGGGACTGAGGTGCGGCCATCACCCCTAGAAGGTGACTTCTCACTCTCTCTGTCTCCTTCAAGTACACGGGCCCTACGGCAAAATTTAACTTGGGGGTGGGGGAAAGCTTGACTGATTCCTATGCAGTGATTTCTTCAAACAAGATGAGCGTCTAATGTCTCCCTCAAACAAATAAACTTAGGATGTGGCCAAAAGGCACAAGGGTGCTAGCTTCAAAACAGGAAATACAGTGCTTTTGTTGTTGTAGAGAGCCCACAAGATGTAGTCAAGCTAAAGGGAAGATGATGTTCCTTGAGGAGACAGTCCAACTCGCAGGATGCAAGTCCAGATACTGGCTTTGAACGATGTTTAGTAAAGCTCCTGACCTTCAGCAAGTGACAAAACTAACCATGACCACAGGAAAAGAGAAGAAAAATGTAAGATGTCCAGAGAAAGCTACCTACAGAAGATTCAAAGATGACAATTTAGAAATACAGAAAGAGTCAGGCTTAGACAAGATGCTATACCTATATTCAGAAATCTAAACTCCAACTTGTTTACTGCTGTATTTTTGATGGATTAATTTTTCTTTTAATTTCCTATAAGCATATGCTTAAAAATTCTAGCCTGCATTCTACCTGAAATTGCAGACAGAAACTCCTTAACCCAGCTCCAAGGCTGGGCATGAATGGAACCAAGAATCCTCTGAAACTACTAAAAAAATAAAGACGTTGAAGAACTTTGTGTCTGTGTTTTTTTCTGAGGGAATCTCTAGCATTCATCACCTCGAAGGAGTCCAAAATTCCAAAATGATTAAAAACTAACTCAATTAAATGGGTACATACTCTGTGGGCAACTGTGGAACTTTATCTTTCTACCTAAGCCTTTCCTTTCACGTTGCATTTCAACATCTCCGTGAAAGGCAATCTCGGGGTAAGACCATCTCACCCACTGGCATTTCTTAAATATTAAAAAAGAAAAGATCCAAACCTGGTAATCCCAAAGCATGGACCTCTATCTAGGATAGTATCCTAGTCAGACTGGCACATCTAAGCAAGAAACACCTAACACATAAAGTTGAAACAAAGCAGATTAGCCCAATGTTAAATGTAAAACTTAACCTTTCCCATGTAAACTGTTTTTGCAGGGCTTTTCTTTAAGAAAATTATTAACATGCTATGAGAGAAAAACAATTTGATTCATTAATTAGCTCAAACTACGATGCAACTTACTTTGACTGTAACATTCGCCATCTTTTCCAAATGCAGTTCTAGCTTGTTTAATGATCTGAAATTGTGAATCTTTATCTGTCACAAAAAAAATAAATATATAAAACACACACGCACGCACAAACACACACAAATACAATATGAATCATCAGTGTCCATAACGAAATGATTAACTGGGTTCTAAATCAAGCTCTTTGGACACACTGACAAACCTTCCAGAATCTTAAGAGAGGAAGCATCTGCACTGTTGCCTAGAGTTCCTTCAGATCTAGAGCCAGTACTTAACCAGACATCAAGCAGTGCAGCATCGCTAAACAGCCATGCAGCCAAAGCAGCTACAAACTGTAGTGACCAATAACCGCTAACACTTCTTGAAGCCCAGCTAAGTGTCAGGTACCATTTTGAGCACCTTACACTGATCATTTATCTTCATAAAATGCTATTAATCATCATCCCCATTTTTAGAGAGAAATTTAGACAACAAATTAAGCACATTGATAAAGGTCACACATCTAGAAGTGACAAAGTCAGGGGCTGAATCAGGACAGTTTCCAGAGCCTAAGACTAACCTCGGCATATGCTGTGAGTATCTGGAACATAGTCTCAACCCTAAATTTTATCTTCAAACTATGTTCTGTGTTCACATTTTTGTTATCTGAGAAGAAGGCATCAGTTCTACTTGCCAGGTTCTCACTGCCTGTTAATAATCTTGGTCTCTCTAAATTTGAGATTACATGACCTGGTTCCAATGTACACGAATCAACTCTACATGCCCTTGAAGTACTAATGTCCTTTTTCTTATGATAGCACATACACATGGGAGACAGAGAAACACTCCTGACAGGATCTCATCACACTGCAATCTTTTCTCCCCAGCCCTCCAGCTCTTTACGATCTAGGGCACCAGGACACACACCCAGATTCTTTTTAGGCCAATAGGGGGATGCAAGCTGTAATCCAGTACCACCTAGGCTAGCCTACATGCCCTTAATCACAAGCATGCTTATAAAAATCTATCCTTTTGGGACCAGCAATGGCTGTGTCACTGGACTCCCATGGAGTCGACTGCAGTTCGAGTCCCAGACCTGGGGGCTTGAACTCACTCCAGTGCCCAAGATCCCAAGAGGAGAATGGAGGAGAAGGGATTGCGGCGTGGCCATCCCCCCTGGGGGGTGATTTCTCACTTTCTGTCTCTCTGCCCTTCCGGCGAGTGCACACACCCTATAGCAAAAACCTCTCAAAAAAAAAAAAAAAAATATCCTTTTTTTAATTCAAAAAAAAAAAAAAAAACATACTAAAAAATTTAAGCTCCACCTGCCCAAAGGAGTCTATGGTGGCCATTGCCAGAGCTGGAAGCAGGTCTCTTCCCACCCACAGAGGACGTTCCCTGCCTTTGATAAGGGTCCAAGTTGGGCAGACTAGGGGCCCTGAATCAGTCTGATGTCTCTGAGGGTCTGATGGGCATCATTGTTTCACAAGCAATGCCACAGGCATATGGAAGCCTCAGCATGGGCCGGGAGTCAATGGGATATTTGTTCCAGAACCTTGCCCAAGATCCCAAGAGGAGAATGGAGGAGAAGGGATTGCGGCGTGGCCATCCCCCCTGGGGGGTGATTTCTCACTTTCTGTCTCTCTGCCCTTCCGGCGAGTGCACACACCCTATAGCAAAAACCTCTCAAAAAAAAAAAAAAAAAACCTATCCTTTTGATAATTCAAAAATGAAAAAAACACCATACTAAAATATTTCAAAATTACAATCTAACAACTTAGTACTTACTCAAAGTAATTGAAGGTATCTTCGCATTCTCATAGAAAAAATCAGGATTATACATTTCACCCTAAACAGTAAAAAAAATTTAAGTGTTCTTGAGTATCAGGTAACTGACATTTTAAGATCTGACATACAGTAACAGATTAAAAACACAGAACAATTTCTCATAATAATTCGAAAAATGAGGAAAGTGCCATCCAACCCTACAAATAAAGGCTATTATTTTACACCAGAAAAAATCTCATAATATGTCTTCCAAATATTGTGAGATTTTAAAATTAACACAGAGTGGGTGTAATATTTGTGAGGGTACACAATGTGATTGGTTTAGTGAGTGAATACAAGGTGTGATGATGAAATCGGGATAGCTGGTCTACCCATCAACTCAGCCACTTACTTAGTGTTGAGAACATTTGAAACCCGTTTTAAGTTACTCTGAGATATATGTAAGGTGTAAACTATATCCACCCCACTGTATTAGGTAATGCTAGGCACTGTTCCTCTTATCTATCTGTAATTTTGTTTCCATTCATCAAGATCTCTCTATCTCCCACCCCTACTCTTCCCAACCGTTAGCTGTCATCCATTTCTCTTCTTGTATAAAGTCTTTTTTTTTTTTTTTTTTTCAGTTTCCAAATGCAAGGGAGACCATCAGGTCTTTCTCTGTGCCTGGCTTAATCCAAAGTATTGTGAATTTATTAACGTGGGAATTACACGACACATATGCAATACAGTAAAGATGTGGTACCTCTTCTTCTTTGGAATAGCCCAGTTTCCTTAATCTACAAGACACCATGTGCTTTGCTAAGGACGACTTGGGCATGTGATGATTGGAATCATAAGGACATATCACAACTTCATCCTAGAAACATCAAACAGAAGCAAAGGGAAAAAGGACACAATTTTAAAAATAATCAGACCATTAAATGTTTACTACTCAAATGATATGATCTAGTTTCATGTCTTCTATAGGCTGTTCAATTCCCATGTTCGTGTATGTGTATTAAAATTATGTTAGTATATGTGTATTAAAATTTAAAAACTCCTTCAAACTCCTATCCCCTTAAAGCCTCTGACCTCTCTCCACCCCTTCAAACCAAGTGTTTGAAGAACTGTGTACACTCTGTCTCAACAATCTCACACAGTCATTCCTCACCCACTGCCGCCAGCACCTACTCTACCAAAATCAGTCCGTAGGAACTAACAACCTCTTGCAACTAAAGCATGGCACAGTCCTTACACCTGAATTCTAAGGTCACAATCCAACTGTCCGTTTCTGTCATCCTGATATATTCAGGATGAATACATTTTTCCTACCTCTCTGGCGCCCCCTACCTGGTCTCCTCTAAAGATCTGTCTTCCTTGTTCTACTGTCCCTCTTTAAATGTTGGTATCTCATATAGGTCTCAACAGTGACCTTTTGTCAATATACGTTTACTGCTGGGTCCTTGGAACAGCCATGAGTCAAGTGTCATGTTTTTCTATGCAAAAATGCGTCACGACTTTTCCGAAGACCCAGTAGTTCTCACGGCTCCAAGTCTCTCTATATAGCGATGACTCCCCAAAACTACATCTTTAGACTCTGTTTTTCTCTGGAGTATTTTTACTAAAAACGTTGAAAATTTATCATGAATGAAAGTAAATCCATTGTATTTTCATGGTCTCCTAATCCCCAAGCCTGTTTCTCTTGTGTTTTCCTATTTCAATAAAAGCTCCCACTTGCCCAAGCAAGAAAATGCCTCTTCTTCTGCACATCCACATCTGATCAACCACCTAGTTCAGCTGATTTTACTTCCAAATACCTCTGAGCTCCCCCCGCCACTCCCCAAATCAGGGTATCATCCTTTCTCTCCTAGATTACAACAATCTCCTATCTGCTCTCTGTTTCCAGCCTTACCACCTTCCACTCCGTTCTCCACACTATAGCTAGTGTGACTCACAGCTCTGCCCCTTACCGGCTATATAAAAGTGGGCAAGGTACTTAAATTCTGCCTCAGTTTCCTCTCTATGAAATGGAAATTGCAGGACCTCCCTCAGAAAACTATTGCGGAGATCAAACTATCCATGAGTTTATACACATAAAGCAATTTGAACACACCCTGGTGTATAGCAAGTGTTCAATAAATGGATGCAGTTATTATTCTATTAAAAGGCAAATATGATTATAATATGGCATCTGCTGGTCCCAAATTTGGGACATTTTCTAAATCCTCTTGGCTGACAGGCCATGAAAGGTCAAGGATACAGTCATGCCTCACCTATTTCTAAGCTTTTTTATTTTTTAATTGAGAGATTTTTTTTTTTGCTATGGGGTATACGCACTCACCGAAGAGACAGAAAGTGAGAAATCACCCAAGACGGATGGCCATGCCACAATCCCTTCTTCTCCATTCTCCTCTCGGGATTCTGGACACGCATACACATGTCCAGTGTGAGTTTCAAGCCATGGGTCTGGGACTTGAACCGTGGACTATGTGGGAGTCCAGCACCTTAACCACCATGCCACCTGCTGGTCCCTATTTAACTTTTAACCCTGCTAAATGTACATTCTCTCCAAGTAAACCTTATAATCCTTCTAAGCTAGCTTTGACCCCCACCTCATATGTTACAGTAACATGCTGACCCCATGGCAAACAGTTAGGGTTATCCTATTTCCCTCTTCCCCTCTAGCTTGTCTGGACTCCCAGAGCTGGTCCATCTCCTTCCTACAAGACCTTGGTCTGTACCAATCTAAACTCCTGACAAACACAGAATGTGTTTCCCACATGTGGTTTCTGCCTTCAAAACCTGCCTAAAGCTTGCAAGACCACGGAGCACTTAGTCAAGACTGCCTGGATCTGTGCCACTAGTAATGCAATTCATACTAGCTCAAATAAGCTCTTGTTTTATGAAATCTTGTGCCCTGTTTCTCTAAGGGTCAACACCAGTCACTCTCCTAAACATCAGATACTGGTTTTCCAAAAGTTAGATGTACACCTACAGCTGACTGTCAGAATCTTGGAACTTTACAAAGGAGTTTTAAAGAAGCAAATAGCAATTAAGCATAAAAATTCTCATGGCCAAAATGCCAGGGTTCAAATCCTAACTGCCATTTACTAGCAGTGTGTCCTTGGACAAAAACTGAAATTTCCTCATCTGTAAAATGTGGTTAATAGTACCTACCTCATGAGGTTATTATGAGCATTAAATGAGGTAACAGACAGTACATGGCAAATCCTAAGAGCTACTCAAGTACTAAAAGGAGAATCCAATTTTACTTTAATGTTGAGTAAATGAAAGCTTAGAAAGGTTTGGTACACCCCACTCAATAGAATTCGCAACTTCAAATACCCTTCTAAAAGAATAAAGATTTTTATGAAATCTTCAGTATGTTTTCAATCCAATAAATAGCAAATAGCAAATTAAACACACTTTACAAGCTTCTGAAGAGTAAGTTATACGATTTAAACCAGGAAGAAATCGTTATAACATGAAAAACTCGGACAGAATATTATTGACATCATGAATTACCCCACCTTGCAGCAACTCCCCTCCTCCCATGGGATCAAAACCAAACCAAACCAAACCCCAAGGAAACAAAAACCAGGATTGTTCACCCTGATACACTTGTCTACATTTTTTTTAAAGTAACTCTATGGAGGGACCAGCAGTTAGCGTAATGGCTATGTCGCTGGACTCCCATGTAGCCGACAGCAGTTCGAGACCCGCACCCGGTGGGTTAAACTGACGCCGGGTGCCTGTGCCTCCACCTCCGTTCCCAAGATCCCAAGAGGAGAATGGAGGAGAAGGGATGCGGTGTGGCCATCCCCCCTGGCGGGTGATTTCTCGCTTTCTGGCTCTCTGGTGAGCGCACGTGCCCTGTAGCAAAAACCTCTCCAAAAAGAAAAAAAGTAACTCTCTCGTTTTTAAGTTGCTAGTTATTGTTACTTAGTGAAAGTTGCTAGTTATTGTTACTTAGTGACATCTTTTAATAATCCTAGAATTGGTGTTGTCCCTATCAGAAGTGTCCAATTTTAAAGCAGAGAAAGGCGAGCTGGCCAACGACCAGCTCTCCGGATACCGAAGCAGGTGCCAACTGCGGAATCCCTACGACAAATGAGAAAGTCGCCGACCTCTCTGGGAGCTGCACTCCGAGACCCATTCATGTATTTGTTTTCGAAATAAACGCCAGATCGGCCATTCCCCCTTCCCCCAGCCCATCCTCCCGTCTTCCTTAAGCCGAGGCTGGGGGAGCAGCGCCGCACTGGAGGCGGGCGGGAAGGGCTGGGGGACCGGCGGGTGTGGCTAGCGCAT